ACATTAGAATTGCTTTTGCTCTCACATCGTCCTTCTTATATATTCACACACGGTGAAAACAAACTTTAGTGCTGATCCAAGTTTTCTCTCTCTCGCATACATACGACAAATGTGGTTTAATCGTCAATATACATACCCACACAAACAAACGGAAAAATTGGGTACGGTATATCCCGCTTTTTGGATTTTTTAAGATTGGACAATTTGTTTGGCACAAATCAATTCACATTATTTTCAAACTACAGATTAGGAAGTGAATGGAGCAATTAATATGTGTACGTGATACTTGTATTGTATATATTTTTAATGCAATTTTTTGGTTTAAATATAAAACATGCATATACTATATACGTAACATGTTTACGTAAACCATGCGTTATATCTGTATTCATTTTTTTTAGAGAAAATTAACTAAACGGCTTTATATGCATATGTTATTTTTGAAAGAAAAAACTTAAATTAACTAGAATGTCCAGTATCTCGATCCACAGGATCAAAACCATCGGAAATGGAGCCGCAGACATAGCAAAAAGAATGCCATATGCTATTGCCAATCCCAGAAATGACGGACGAGATGAACTTGAAGATCTTGGAGAATGGCCAAAAACTTGGAGTGTTTTAAACCTATGATATTGTTCATACATCCTTGTTCTTGTAGAGTATAAGACAGATGGAGACTAACTGCTGAATCTAGAGTATGACTTGAATATTGGAATCCCTTTTTTTCGTTGAACAAATGTTTTAAATCTGAGTAACTTGATGACAAAATAACTTATATTTGTATCTGAACAAGAGTGTGGTTGATAAGACAAAAAACACTTTCATGAAAACTGGAAACTGGAATATGTTACTTGATGTAAAAGTAAACTCTTTAGGTCTGAACAGAGTTGTGAATAAGACAAGCCTTTTGGAAAACTTAAACTGGAGTATATTGTGTTTTGTTTTCAAGTCTCATAAGAAAAACTGGTTTATGATAATGCCAGAGGTTTCAGGTCTTAAATCTTTATTAATCAGAAATTATTATAACATCGTCATATCTATAGTATTATTTGTGAGGTCAAAAATCTTAAGTGTCGTCTCTACATGTTATTAATAAAAAAATAGTATGGTGTTTTAATTAGTTTTTATTGGTTGATCATTAATCTTACATGTTGTTTATCCAATGTACTTTTTAAAAACGAATTGGGCTATGGGCCTATGGCTTATGATTTGTAGTTTCTTAGCAACTCGGAATGGGTTAAAGCCCTTTGGTTGTATATGATTCCGATAATTTAACCTTAGAGGTCGGTTAGTTTAGGGTTTTGTGAAAGAAAACAAGAACCTAGCTTTGTTTTACCATATATAAATATAACTTTTCTTGGCTGCATTAAAGTTATCACGAGACTTCAAGTTTTACTACAGTATTGGTTGTATTTTTGGTAATTCTCATCATCTTTATAGCCTTTTTTATGTTCTTTAGTTTTCTTTTAGCTAGGTTTTTGTATGTGTTGTTGTTTTTCGTTATTTATTGTTCAAAGATTTTTGTTTTTGATTTTGTAGGTTGATCTAGGCTTTGATTTTTGTTTTGTTTTTGTACGTTTCTTTATCTCTTTGGACGTTTGTTGTGTTTAAAAATTGGTGTTAGCTTTCTCGAGGTATGACTTCCGTGTGTATCACGTTTACGTGTTTGGGTCTTCTTAATTTGGTGACTTTTTACTACTGTCTCATTGCGTTTGTTTTTTTTTTTTTATCACAAACGCTAAACCCTAAAACATCTACCCTATTATATATATTTTTATCGCCTACTTATTTTTTATCACAGTTAACTATCTTCGTTTTATTGTTCGTAGAATTATAGGTGGTTGGTTTTCCTTGGATTGTTTTCTTTATTTTTTCTTTATTGTTTGTAATACCTGAGCTTTTTATTGTTTTCCTTGAACCTATAGTGGAAATATGTATGTTCACAAATATTTACCAATTACCATCTTTAAAGGTGCGTTCCATAAGTGAAAATAGAGGAAACAAGATACATTCACTATAATGAAAGAAATGGCTGCGCCGGGCCATTGGGAGAAGAGTGCTCTATTGGGAGAAGAGTGTTCTTTTTATAAGCTCAAGTTCAGGAACAATATTTGATGGAACGACAAGTGGTAATCCTGAATCCATATCTGCAGTAATCAGAAAGTCGGAAAAAGACCGCACCAATAAATATTTGTTTAAAGAAATAGTAAAGCATGAAGGCTACAGATATGATCTTCATGAAAAACTCATGGAATCAGGTTTCAGTTATGCAAAAAAAAAAATCAAGCTTCACCCAAATTACTATAACCCAGGAAAACACATGCTCAATGAAAGAAACATAAAATGTCATAAGTAAGATCATTCACGTAAAAATAGCCATCGTTGGAACAAAACACTAGAGATGAATACTGCACATTTTACAACCTTGAGCGGATAGTAATTCCGACATTCAGCCCACATGCCCACAAGAGATGACAATATAAGAAATGATTAGAAAACAAAACCAAGATTAGGAAATGGGAAATAAGAAGAAACCAAATAAAAAACAGAGTTTGTGCCCTTAGAAGAAGAAGTATACTTGAGGAGAATATTAAGAAAGACCAAGGGATTTGTTAAAAGCTTGTTTCTTAAGATGACACTATAGCACCACAAAAATAATAATAATAAGAAAATAGAGAAACGGAGTGAAAAAAATGATAATTTGGAAGCAAAGCAGATAAAATTGTGATTATGATCCCATCTTCTAAAAACAACTTTTCGAACTCCTTCTTGATTATAATGAGTATTTGAAATGGGAGAATGAAGAAAATGACGAATAAAACTAGAAAAAAAAAATAAGGAAAATACGAAGAAGAAAGAAAAAACTAAAAGATAAAGAATAAAAAATATAAGTTGAAGAACAAGACAATGAAGAAAGAAAAAAAATGAGGAATAAGAAAATTTGAAAGCCTTTCACTTTCAGACAGCTCTCTTGCCTTAGATTTTGCAGCACTAGCTACTTCCTCCAACTGAATAGCTTCCTTACTATACTTTAGAGTATCTTTTAAGAATCATACCTAGAGGGAAGAGAGTTGAGTAGCAGTATTGCTTGAACCTCTTCTGGTATCTCAATGTTGAGGTTGCTCAAATCTGCAATCAATTTCAAGAAGTCATCTACATTCTGATCAATTGATATTGAATCTTGCATTCTAAAAGAATACACCTTAAGCTGAGAATATGACCGATTAGGCAAAGTCTTTGCCATGTAAAGCCTCTCAAGAGTAGCCCACGCTTGAGCTGCGGTTACGCACTTGTCTAGTTTCCTTAAGACGTGATCTCCAACGCACATGAAGATAGGATTCAAAGCCTTCTCATCTCGCACTAGCCTTGAAGCGTCATCTTTGCTCTTATTCTTCACTGCCTCGGGATCTTTTTCATCGACCTCTTTGGATGTCGGTTCCGAAAGAACATATTTCAAACCTTGAACTCTTAAGTACGCAAGCTCACCTCCATCTTTTGTGTCGTCATCATTGAGTTTCCAATCTGATCCTCAAGCACTCACTACCAAAACCTGGATGCTCTGCTATCACTTGTTGGGGTTTTTAACTTCTTCTGAATGTTTAGATCTGAGATCTATTAGATGAATTAAAAATTTAAATGACACAAAAGTTTGATCACCTAATTCACGGCCTCGAACCGCTACGTCTGGGATGGGAACCGTCTCCCACAACATCCACTATCAATCAAAAAATACACAAACGCACCAACCGGCGCTCCAAGTACAAGTTACAGATTAGAACAATACACAACACAAAGAAGACTTGAATTTCTTTGGTGCTCTCTTAGATTCCCTCTTCTCTCTTCTCTCTCGATTGCTCTCTCTCTGTTTCTCTTGCTTGTACGCTCTTTGAATCTTTTTATGTGTTAGGTATCTTCCACGTCTTTGTCCTCCTTTTATATCTGACTTAATCATCTGTCTTCCACGAACCAAAGAACCGCCAAAGAGTAACTTTTCCTTTTGCTATTTGAACATTAACTTGATTTGGCCCATCAGATATGTTTAGGAGAAACAGGCCCAGATTGAGTTTAATGACTGAGGCCCAATTTCTAACAGGTGTAATGGTTGTGTCTTAGATCCCAAGCTTTTTGCGTAGTTCTTTGTAAATTTTATTTATTTTGTTTGTTAAAGAACGGAGTTCTTTAGTTTCATTGAACAAATGGCCTAAAGCTAAGTTACTTGATGACAAACTTCTTTTTGTCTGAACAGAGTTTGATTGAAAGGAAAAACCCCCTTTTATTTAAACTGGAATATGTTACTTGTTGCAAAAGTAAACTCTTTATGTCTGAACAAAGTTATTAACAAGACAACCCTTTTGCAGGAGTATGTTATGTTCTGTTTACAGGTCTTATAAGTAAAACTGGTTTAAGGTAATGCTAGAGTTGTCAGGTCTCTTGCATGAGTCTTGAGTGGCTCGAGGAAATATACGTAACTCTTTCTCTTTCACGGTTTATTAATTCGTAAATATACACAAAAGATGAAATGTTGACTCAGCCAGAGTCTATAAGAAAAATTGGTAAGTTAATTAATGTAAAACTTTGACTTGTTGATTTCTTGCCAATTTTTTTTATAATTAATTTAGAAATGTGGAATGCATTAAATATAATCTATAAACTAAATCTTTTAGAAACAAGAAAAACCTATAAAATGTGATAGTATCATATTCAATTATTATCTGTTACGAGTTATAATATTGTTAGTTTTTTCATTTCCTTATTTGAGATTAAAGTAGATGATTATTTCAAATGGAAGCTATAGATTGCCCATTTTTAGTTTATAGAATATAATTAAATTGTTTGACCAAAAAAAAGAATATATTTAAATTGATTTATTTAAATGTATATATTAATGCATGTAATGCATGTATCACTTGTAAATTTTGTAAACTTGTTTGTGTTGGGTGTTTGAGACTTGGCTCTTTTCTCTTCAGGCTCTGGTGGAGCTTGGTTGGGAGTAGTCTTCGATGGGTAATAAAGCTGATGAAAAGTTCACTTGGGAGATATCGATCAATAATCTCTCCTATTTGCAATCTAAAATCTGTTCCAATATATTCGTGGTTGGTCGCTGCAAATGGTAAGTAAACAAAAACTTCTTCTCGTTCTCCTAAATGTTTGGTTATGTAATTGTAGATGTGTGTTTGGATTTGCTCATTTTTGATATATTATTGATGTATCAACTCTTGTTTATGATTTAAATTAAGGAATGAATCAGATGCTAAAAAAATAACCTTGTTCTCTCTCTCTAAATTGTTATGTTTTGTTACAATTTAGGTTTAAAAGGACATCAATTATATATATTTCCAATGTTTTTGCTTGCAGGCGTCTTGTGGCCTATCCCAAGGGGCATAATAAGCGTATTGAGTATTTGTCTCTTTTTCTGGAAGTCGCTGATTATAAATCTTTGCCTTGTGGATGGAGAAGACGCGCCAAAATTCGCATAAATGTTGTAAATCATCTTTCCAAAGAGCGCTCCAAAATGAAAGGTGATTATATCTGCCAAAAATTTGGTAAGCCGAAACATTGCACCGTATGATCACATAATTAATGCCACAAACTACACTATGATTATGTTTATAAGGCAGACAAAAAGCAAAGGTTCAGATTTCTTTATGAATTTTTTTTTTTTTAACTTAGTCGTGGACTCATATTGGACTTGTGTTGCTGCGAGATTTGTACAGAATCAGATATGTGGTTTAATCAGCAGACTCCCGGCTGGGGTTTTGGTGCAATGCTTCCCCTCAGAGAACTTTATGCCAAAGATGGTGGGTTTCTTACAGATGGAAAAGTCGAGATTGTTGCTGAGATTAATGTTCTTAAAGTTATTGGAAAGTTCGATGTAGAGGAAGCTGAGAATTCAACCCAACCTCTGAAAAAGACGAAGTTGAATGTGTCTAACGATTCACTCATCAGCAAGACAGAACTACTCAGTGTTGATTTCAATGGGTTTCAAATTTTGCCATCACAGGTAAGAAATTTAAGATATTTTTGCCCTTTCCCTTGAATTTTATTTAAACCTCTCAAGTATCAAACACTTAAAATGGATAGAAGTTGCTATAACCAATTCAGTTTCTGTATTTTTATGTGAGTTGTTGAAAAAAACCCATTCATATCTCCAAAAACTTGTATGTATTGGTATGGTTCATACGTCCTTTATTTTATTTTTAACTCACAGGTGGAATCTGTGAGACGTATATTTGAAAAACACCCAAACTTTGCATCAGAGTTCCGTTCTAAGAATCGGCATCTGAAGTCAACATACATGAATTTCCTCCTCGGACTCATTGAGACACTGTGCCAGTCACCTCAAGAGCTCACTGATGATGATCTGGATAAAGCATCTGTTGGAGTGTCGTACCTGGAAAAGGGAGGGCTTAAAGTGGATTGGTTGGAGAAGAAGGTCGAGGAAGTAAAGGAAAAGAAAAAGAAAGTGGACACTGGTAGGTCTCGGGTGCAAGAAATGGATGACGAGTTGAAGAAACTGATTAAGAAATGCATAGACATCAAAGATCTTATGGATAAGGAGATACAAGACATTACGGCTGCCAATGTTTCTCTCTCGTTCGATGATGTTGTTTGATGTTATTGCGTTCTCAAAAACTTGTACTTTTGGTTTTTACTTTGTGTTGTCGTACCAATTCCTTTTCTGCAATGGTACTTGAGGTTAATCATCAACTTGGGATTGAATCTATCATATTTCTATGTCTTAATTAGCTTCTTCATGCACTTGCCATTTCGTTCTCGTTATATCAGTTTTATAGAAAAGAGGGAATGATTCAATATATGTTTTCATATCGTATCGTTTTATTGAATATTGTTGGATTGGATATATACAATATACATGCATCATATGAATAAAGTGTCACTTCTCTTTTGTATCTCTTCTAAATTTGATGCATTTGTGCTTCTGCGGAAATAATGAATAGGTTTTGAGACAAGGAGAGGGACATATGGAGACTGATGCCTGAATCTGTAGTGTGAAAACAGGCACACTAATCAATTTAAACTGCAACAAGATTATTTGCAGATTTTGGAAGTAAATATTCCTAATTACTCAACTCTAAGTAGTTGCTTGCATATATCTAAAATTACTCAGCTATTGTATCTTTAGCATCCCACACTTCACTCCACAAGGGAAGATTACGATTACGTCCAGCCTTACTAGAAAGATAGGTCCCGGGAACAAAGTCTCAAAGTTACTCGAAAATAGTAAGATTTTAAATTAACTACTATACAGTCTATACCCAACAATCACAACTCGGTGCACGAAAAATTGCAAAAAAAACAAAAACAAAAAACCAAGAGATTTGAGTTTTCACCTAATAAACCCAACGAAAATAAGATTTTTAAAAATCTACCATTTACATTTACGCTTAAACCATAAAAATTATTCGTTGACGCAAAAGAAACCTCATAAAAAAAAAACTATTGTTCTCATTGATCCAAATTAAACCCCAAACGTTAATCATCGGCGCAATGCAAATGATTAAACCCTAGATGCTAACGGGATTAAGAACTTCATATTACCAGATGAGAAATTTTAGGACATCGTATTGTTTGTCTTTGATCTAGGTTTTAATGTGAATTCAAGGATGATGGTTCTTCCCATTCTCTTATTAAATGGAGAGATTGAGAATAAAGTGATATCACATTATCATCTATATCTAGGGTAAACGATATGTTAGCTTTGAGTTTCTTATGATATTTTTACTTGTCATGGACTCATTGGACTTGTGCTGCTGCGAGATTCTATTAACATGTAGTTCAAATTTTGTTTTACAGAAGCACAAACGTAGTTAGATCAGAAGCATCAAGGCTGGGGTTTCCTTGAAATGCTTCCCCTTACCGAACATCATGCCAAAGACGGTGGGTTTCTTGCAAATGTAGAAGTCAAGATTGTGTGGCAAGGTTGACGTTCTTGAAGTTATTGGCGAGTTTTATGTATCAGATGAAGCTGAAAATTCAGCTCAACCACTGAAAAATCTAAAGTTGAATGCATCTAGTGATTTACTCATCAACAAGAAAAAACAACTGAATGAAAGTGTTGATGTCGAATGGGTACAAATTTTCCATCACAGGTAATGTTATGAGAATATTATAGCTCTTTCTCTTGAATTTATTTATTAACGATCACGTGTTCAACCATAAATACACTCTCAAGTCTCAAATCTCAAGTATCAGACACTTAAACAGAGAGAAGTTCAAGCACCAAACTGTATAAACCCTTCAGTTTCTAGGTTTTTATGTATAAGTTGATGGACAAAACCGTGTTATTCATATCTCCAAAAACTCCTATGATATTGTTCATACATCCTTTTTTTTTTTTAAAATCTGTGAGACGTATATTTGAAAAATACCTAGACGTATCAAAGTTCCGTTTTAAATATCGGCATTTGAAGTCAACGTACATGAATGTCGTCCTAGGACTCATTGAGACGCTCTGCCAGTCGCCTCAAGAGGTCTCTGATGATGATCTGGATGAAACATTTGTTGCAGTGTCATACGTGGCAAAGGGAGGGCTTAAAGTGGATTGGTTGGAGACTTGGAGAAAAAGGTCGAGGAAGTAAAGGAAAAGAAGAAGAAAGTGGCCAATGGTAAGGCTAGACTGCAACAAATGGAGGACGCGTTGAAACAGAAATGCTTAGACCTGAAAGCTCTTGTTGATAAGGAGAAAAAGATATTTTTATGGCCAATGTTGCTCTCTCGTTCGAATTCGATGATGTTGTTTGATCTTCTTGTTTTCTCAGAAACTTATAGTATGATTGTACTTGGTGTGGTTGGTGTTCTTGTAGAGTATGAGACAGATGGAGATTAACTTTTGAATCTAGAGTATGATTTGAATATGGGACTCCCTTTGTTTCGTTGAACAAATGGTTTAAATCTGAGTACCTTGAAGACAAAATAACTTATTTGTATCTGAACAGAATGTGATTGATAGGACAAGAAACACTTTCATGAAAACTGGAAACTGGAATATGTTACTTGATGTAAAAGTAAACTCTTTAGGTCTGAACAGAGTTGTGAATAAAACAAGCCTTTTGGAAAACTTAAACTGGAGTATGTTGTGTTTTGTTTTCAAGTCTCATAAGAAAAACTGGTTTATGATAATGCCAGAGGTTTCAGGTCTTAAGTCTTTTATCAATCCGTAATTATTATGATTGACAGCGTCATATTTGACTCTATTATTAATCAAGTCACACTTGTGTCTAAGCATCCCAAAGAAATTATTTCTTCACGAAAACACAACCCCTGTAATTATATATACTCTCGCTCTACCTAATAAATTGTTTTTTTTTTGTTTCCACACATGGTATTAACAAACACTAAATACTCACTTTTACAGTTTTACTAATGTTTTTTGTTTGTTTTTAATTGATTTAATGTTCCATTTAATTTTTAGAGAGAGAAATATACTAATATTACAGGAAACACAAAAGATGAAATGGTAACTATCAACCAGAGTCTATAAAAAAATGAGATAATTGGAAATTTAGGACAATTTCCCAAACCATTTGTCCATTTAAGATTTATTATTTTAGACATTGTTTCTCTAAGATTTTTTTGATTGAAACCCAAAATTACCCTTAAATTTTCATTCTAATAATTTTTGGTTAATTTTTTTTTTAGTTCAGCAAAATAAAAACAATTAAAAATTTAAGCACAGTGGCTACTTGTGTCAAGATAATTGAACAAGAATGTGTTCCTGCTCTATATGCTGGCTTGATTCCCAGCTTATTACTGGTATAATTCCTTAATATTCTTAGTTAAACTAATCTCTTAAGATCTCTCTTACAGCTTTGTTACTTCTCTGAGAATTGCAGGTATTGCCTTAGTTACTTTGTGTACGAGTTCATGAAAATTATCATGAAGGTTGAATCAGCACAATAACTGGTCTTGTTGTCCAAGTTACTTCTGAGGATATATTTTGTTTCTTTACATTTTTGGGTATTTACTCTGAAGATTTCTCCACTTTTTACAAAACCATATAGTTATTAAAACAGTTGATTGCAAGAGAAATATTCCCTCCGTTTTTTATTAATTGTCGTTTTAGAGAATTTTGTTTGTTTTAAATTAGTTGTCGTTTTCAGTTTTCAGTGCAACATTTATTAGTTTTTTATTTTTTATAATTATTTTTATTATGCAATTTATTTTATTATTGGTTGAATTGTGTTTAAATAAATAATTAATGATGTTTTTATATTGAAAAACTAATACTATTAATATTTTCTTAATCTGTGTGCACAATCTTAAAATGACAACTAAATAAATCCGGAGGGAGTAATAAGATTTGAAATTTCTATTTTGTTTGCTGTATTCTTAGATATAAAGGAATCGTGATAGAGTACAAGGTAATAAATTGAAAAACTTGAGAAGAATTTTTTGTTGAAGAAGAGCGAAGAACTTCAGGGGAAGAGATTAAAGAAAACATGGAAAATGAATATTTGGAAAATATTCAGTTTGGTGGATGAGGCTATAAATCCTAGATTTTCTCAGATTTTGTTATAAATTTACTAAAATACATATTCTACAGTATGTAGAACAAAGAAAAGTAGTGAAATATAGAATATAGTAAAAACTGTAAAACATGTATTCTAGAAGCTGTAGAACGTTGAAATGTCTGTAGAATACATATTCTATACGGCTAATAGAATGAAGAAGAACATGTAGAACATCGATTCTAGGTTTCATATATTGTAGAAGAATGTTTTGAATACGTATTCTACAACATCGTTGAATGTAGAAAACGTTTTCTACATGTTGTAGAAAACAATTTTTAAAAACTTTCATACTGTTTTTCAGTAATAAATTTATTTCCTTTTTACTATTTTCGATTTTTTTTAAAAAAAAAATGAAATATTAAATTCAAATTTTTAAAATTAATGTAAACATTAAGGGTAATTAAGTTCAAGGTGACAAAAATTTAAAAAGTCTTATGGGGATGGGGATAAATATTTTTAAAATATGTCCTAAATTTACAATTCTCCCCAAAAAAATTGGTCAAATTAATTAATGTGAAACTTGACTTTTCAATTTCTTTCCCAAAATTTTATAACTAGTTTTGTAAAATGAGATGCATTAAATATGAGTCAGATGAACACCAACTTTGAATTCGATTTTGGAAACATGATTGCAGAGAATTTCTGTTTTTATACTAAAGTATAGTTAATGAAACGGTACGTTTTAGTCTGTGTTTAAGAAAATATCAAATTAATCTCATTAGCAATTTAGCATCTGCAAGGTCTAATTTACGTCAATGTAAATGTTAGTTTTTTTTTTAACACAAGGGGTTTAATTTGTGTCAGCGGTTAATAGCTTGGGATTTGATTTGCGTCAACGAATATAATACTAGGGTTTATTTAACACTTTATATTTTTGTTTAGGATTTCTAGGTGAAATTTCAAATCTCTAGGTTTTTTTCCAATTTTTTTCTTTTGTAAAGTGCAGCCCTAATTTATGGAATTATATAAAGGAATTGTGCATTATTTTTTTTTGTTTTTTTAGCATCAAATCTCGAACTTGAAACGTGTTCTGTCCGTCATCGCCTGCGTCTATGGGTGCCGGTTTCCCCGAGCTCTCTCC